GAAATTAAAGGAAAATCAATTCGAGCCTTTCCGCTTCCCAACAGGCTTATTCTGGGCTGCGAGGGCACTGCTGTTCTGCCACTGCCGGCGCTCAGGCATTCCAAGCGTTTTTCCAATGGAGACTCTCCCCGCCAGCTGAAACATGTGATCTTAGTCATTCCCCCCCTCCTGCTCCCTCACTTTGGGGCCTAAACGTTAACTATTTCACTGGTCTGACCAAGACAGCTGCAAAACCACCCTGCAAAACAAATGCCGAAGCTATCGATCTTCCGTGTGTTCATCCCGAGGGAGAAAAAAACCCTATTTTTTATTACAAGGAATTTAAAAGTACCATAAAAGTAATTTTTCAGCATTTCATTCATTTTGTTTTAAAAAACCGAACATTGCTATTTAAGCAAAATACAAATATCGGGGCGATGGACAGACACTGAATCATAAAAGGCAATTGTAATCTGCAATCAATTCTGTCCATTGAAAGAAAAAAAAGACTGCCTTATTCAGTGCAAAAGAACCACTTTGCTTGTTTTGGTTCTGGTTTGCATATAGTCTTTAGAGGTAGCTGAATGTGCTTGATCTTTGACGGCCTGGAGCAGGACAAACTACTCCAAGAGGAGCTGAAACATGAAGCACATCTGCCAATCTATTGCCCTCCTGCTTAATTTAAAATTCGCTATGCGACCATTGTAGTTCTTACTAAAATGGAAAGGCTTAGGAGGCTCTGAACGCAGAATAAGAAATTCTTGCTCTCTGTTCAAGCTTTACCATCCCTCTCTAGCTAGGCATAACTACCATTTGCTTTGCAGTATTCGGAACGATTCTTAAAAGCAGTGCGTGTGTGTGTGCTGGGTGGGGCTGAGGGACAATTGATCTGAAGTCGACGGAGGAGGGCAGATGCCGCTGGTCGGCCTTCGGTCCAGATAGCCTCTCCCCATCCTTTCTAACCCACGGCACTCCCGCTTTCAGGTGCCTGAGCCTGCAGTCTCTGAAGCTGTCCGGATGCGGCCATGTCACGGACGATTCCATTATGCTGCTCCTCAAGAGCTGCCCCTGCCTTAGGAGCCTCCAGCTGGAGAACTGTGTCCTGATCACCGACCGGACTCTGGAAGCAGTGACTCTCCACGCTGCCTCCTTGCAGACGCTGCACGTGGACTTTTGCAGAAACATAACAGCAGCCGGGGTGCAGCAAGTCCGGAAGATGCGCCCGTCACTGACTCTCAATGCGGAAAGAAGTGCAAACATGATTCCAGACAAAAGGCCAGGCGGCTGGGCCTTGGAAAAAGGGTTGAAGAGAGTGCTCTGGCACTAGTTAGGCAAGCGGCCACGTTCGGGGTTTTATTCTGCTCGGCGCTTTCTGCGCGCAGCTCGAGTGGCTGCGTCCATTGAAAGAGAGGTAAAAACAGGAGAACAGGAAGTTATTCTACTCAAGCCCGCCGTGGAAGTGGCAGAGCTGATCTCCCAAAGATCTGGCAGTTTGCCCACAAAACTTTGGGCTGTCCTTTTACTGGACCATTTGATGAACTATTGTGGTCTGTTCCATTTCTCAAACTAGCAGGGGTTGTTTTGTGACATGGAGTTTCTAAATTAAAAAGTAACTCTGTGATAAACCATCCATCCTTCCCTTTACAGATACTCCTTTAGTTAAGCATGCTAGATTTTTAACACAACTAAAATCTTAACAAATAACCAAGAACTGTGTATCTTGACTCATACTGACTTAGTTTTTCCATGTGTGTAGTTCTCTAAATTGTTATTTATTATAAATAAAATAATGCATCTTAATTGCAGTTAGGCAGAACTAATTCTCAGAATGGCAAGGGCCCAATTCATACCCTGAAAGAAAAAACAACCCTCATTAAGCTTTCTGTCCTACCTTTTATAACAAAACTTTGCAAGACCAGCATGAGAAAAGAGAAAGAAGAATTCTTTCCTTCTGTCTTCTTCCTTCCTTCCTTCCTTCCTTCCTTCCTTCCTTCCTTCCTTCCTTCCTTCCTT